ATGTTCCTCGTCAAGTCTAGTTTGTCCATACCAAATTTCAGCTCAAAATTCGATCGGGAAGGTCGTCAAACGATTTTTGCAAGTTAACTGGTCCGGAAAATACATATTCCAGACCAGTTAACTTGCAAAAATCATTTGACGACCTTCCGGATCGAATTTTGAGCTGAAATTTGGTATGGACAAACTAGACTTGATGAGGAACATGCTCAAAAAATTTCATCAAAAAATTCCACCGGGAAGGTGCCCAAACGGGCTCGGCCGGACGGGTCAGCCCGTCAGGCCGGCCTGACATGAAGTTTTCTCTCTCTCTCTCTCTCTCTATATATATATATATATATATATATATATATATATATATATATATATATATATATGTGTGTGTGTGTGTGTGTGTGTGTGTGTGTGTTTGTGTGTGTGTGTGTATATATATATTTATCTATAAAATGGATTAAAAAACACACAAATAAGATAATTAAAATATATATGGGGCACCCGTGGGGGACAGCGGGGATGGGGCGGGTCTGGGAGTGACGGCGATGGAGCGGGGATGGGGGGGACTTTTTAGACATGGGGCGGGGGATGGGGGAGTGAACCCCCGCCCCAAATCCACCCCGTTGCCATCCCTATTTCAAACTTTGAGGCCCAACCTCAAATTCAAAGGTCGGCATTACATTTAAAGCTTCCAAAAGTCAACCTTGTGATTAAAAAAAATAATTATTAATTAATTACTTAAAAAATAATAATTAATTAATTAAGTAAAACGAGAATCACATGGTTAAAGACGAATACTTCTCAAGACCTAAAGGAGGAATTTTTTCAAAACAAAGTTGGTTAGCACTTTACCTTAAAGTCTAGAAACTCACAATCAACAACACGTTAACAATCCATATCTCTACAATCTAATAAGCCTGAATGAGAGTTAGGATATTGTTGGTATAAATAATTTTGTTGGTGGTATTGTAAACTTAGTTGATAAGTACTAAATGCTTAATTCATTGTACTTCATTCCACTTTATACACCTGCAACACTCAACGGCGTCTATCACCTCGTTAAATTAGAACCGCGTACATCTTACATTACATCGGGCTAGCCGCTTGATGTGAGTTTTCTCGCACTTAAAATAGATCGTAATATAGTGGTGTAAGTACGAGTATCGTCTCCATAGGGACGGACAAAAGGGAATCAAGAATTAATTAAATTCAGCGATTAAAAAGAAAATAAAATAAAAGCGTTGTGCGAGAATTGGTTGGTTTGGAAAATAAAACTAATGCGAACAATTAAACTAGGGGTTCTTTCTAATTAATGACGAAGGGAACATGGATCGATTCCGGGGTAACTAGATTTCTGGCAGATCAGGCCTAATTACATGAAATTAATTTAATTGAGCCTAGCTAATCATTACTAAGTTCTTACCGCTCTCGCGGCGTAGAGTACAATAATTTAGGGGACCAGACTGATCTCTCATGCGACAGGATCCTAAATTATTGCCAAGACGAGCGAGCTTATGACCCCTTAATCGCTACTAATCTCTTAGCGAACGATTAAGTGTGTGTGAATGTGTCCTAGAACAAATTAGATCTCTCTTAATTTATTCTACATGCAATTGTAATTCTAGTCGCGATTCTAGGTTACAAAAGATATCAATTAAATTATTCAAACACAAATTAAACGGCATTCATGCAATTAAACAGAAAAGAATCTAGCCATACATCATGATCAACCCCTTCATCAATCCCAAATCCCTAATTAAAACTACTCACAATTCATAATTGAAGAATCAATAGAATTGGAATAAAAAGAATTAATTGTCATTAATTAAAAAGGTGGAACTTACAAAGAATCCCAAAAGATTGATGAACAAGGCTGAAAAGCCCTCTAAAATTCGTGCTAGGCACTCTCTCTAAGCTCCCCCTTGAAAACGGGGGTTTACAGGCTGTTCAAATAGAAAAATCGGGTGAAATTTAAGCTGAATTAGGATTTTCGGAGCCAGACACGATGCCAGGCACGATCGTGCCTTCGATCGTGCCTCCGGAGCAAAAACGCGCATTTTGGGCAGGCACGATCGTGCCTCCCTCCAGGCACGATCGTGCCTGGCTGGCAGTAACTCCTCCGTGTTTTCTCTTCACGCACGATCGTGTCTGAATTTGAGGGCACGATCGTGCCTACTTAACTTACGAATTTGGCAATGCTTTCTTCATGAACGTTGTAGATAATGAAGTCCTCTATTCACCCCAATTTGCCGAATGTGATTTGAATCATCCAATCAAGAGATATGATCAAAACGGTGGAAGGTGTCTTTCTGAAATCGCAGCAGAGATCATCTGACTTCATCGTCTGTTTTCACCTTCTTCCTCTCAGATTCTCGCAAAGGTGTCTTCATATGATTTGTAGCCCTTGAAGTTGGCTTTCCTATGGAACTTGAATCGTGTACATTGGATGTTGCTACAAAGAGATATGCTTGAACGATTGACAGAAGGTCATCCTGATCGTCGTTTTCAAGCTTCATTCATCTTCTTTTGATCCCGAAGCCAATCCTAGAGCTCTTTTTCCTTCAAATCTTCATCGTGAATCTTCCGGTGACCTCCAAAGCTCTCAAATCACTCTCGAATGCTTCTCGACTCATCCCGATTTCTTCTCAAGTGCCGGTATCGGGCTCAAATTCCCTGATTTTGACTCCAAATGACACAAAACTCGAACCAACGCCCGGTAAACATAACTTGAGCTAAAATTGAGACTTGTAACACCTTAAAGCTAGGAAAATCATCAAAAGCCGATCTCAACACGCATCAAATACGTGTCAAAATACGGACTTATCACCGCTCAAGACCCAATTCTGTCGCTTGCATCTGCCATCAACGCATCGCCCACATGAGAACGAACAGGTTGTTGCAGCTGTGAGGTGTCTCCTTCAATCATCCCCCCTTCCCCTTATAAATCTATATTGTTCTACCGCCGGAGGTTAGCATTATGCCCTTTCTCGCATCTCTTATGCCTTTAAATATCCTTTATTTACTGAATGGGGGTTAGGACTTAGGAGATCAACAATTATAAATATACTCTTTGCATAATTCTCAAACAGTCTTAATATACTTATACTTGTATATTTTGAAAAAGCAAACTCTACATTTACAAGAACTAAGTCAAATGCAAATTCCGATTAATGTTTTGATTTTGTGCAAATAAAAAGGTAATTATAAAAATATTTACGTATGATAACGTAACTAACATTGGGCATCGGCATACTCGCGCAACGCGTGATACAAAAACTAGTCCGACAATAAAAATGGATGCTCACTCGAACTCATCATCATTGTCAGTAAATCATTGTGCTGAATCTTCTGATGAGTTCGAGACAGTTACTTCTGATTCTGTACATCCTGAAAGCTTAATTGCTATCGAGCGTACAATGGTTAAGGAATTAGAAGAATGATTAGCAAATAATTAAAAGTGCTTGGTTAAGAGCTTTGATGAAAGAGGTAGACTCAGTGCGCAACTAACCAACACACAAGAGAAAGTCACTAATCTAAACTCTAAGATATAAAAATCTGGAAGCCGAAGTTCGTGACTTAACTAAGAAACTGATTACTATGAAAATTGAAAGAATAAAATTGTTAATTCAATTCTTGATGACAAACGTATAATATAATCAGGAACATAGAAGAGTTAAAATAATATTCAGTACACAACAATGATTTCTCAGTGCATTGTGTACGGATCCGGAGCCTCTACCTTACTTTAAAGTAAGGTAGGGTGCCTTGCTTCTTCCGGGTCGTCCGATCAACAATTCAACGGTCGGAGATCTTGGGCTCCACTTTTTCGCTAATCTCGAGGCCTGCTTTGCTACTGCCCGACCGTCCGATGCGCAAGGCACCGTCCTAGTCGAGCAGAGGATCCCAATCCCATTGTGTACTGGGTATGAATATCGAATGTAGCAGCAGCTGTCTCTTCTCTTTTAGCTATGGGAAGAAAGAAAGTAAAGGGAAAAAAGAGATTAAAAAAGATATAAAGAAAAAATATGACACGTGGCGCCACATATATATATGTTTACCAGCAAAGTGTTGATTAACCTATTCCCTCTTTCCATTAGAAGGTTCCCACCTTCCTATTTTGGATGTTCCATATAAAGGTTCCCATTTCAATTTTAGGAAACAATTAACAATCTTAAGTGACAAAGTAATTATTAAATATTAAAAATAATACATTTATAATATCACAGTTATCATTACTAACTACATTATAATATATACCTATTAAAATTATTTCTCAAAATATACTCAAAGTACTTTATTTGATTATTGTCTAAATAACGTACCGTTTTGATATGAGAACCTTCCAACGGGACGGAGGTAGTATTAAAAAGCTAATTTGAACTTTTTTATTAGTTGGGATGTATAATTAGGTGATATTTGAATAGATGAGTTTAATCCATATTTTCCAAAGAGTAAGAGGATTTATGTGATTCTTTTACCTTGATTCAGAGGCCGTTTGGCGACCTTTTTTTCTGGCTTATTAACCAATTTATTCACCAAACACGTAACTTTTGATTTGGCACACTGAATTTTGTGATAAACAGAAAAAGTAAGGTTGAAGTTACTTTTCTGTCTGTATTGACTGAAGTTATTGTACATGATCATTTTAGCTATTTTTTCATATAATTTTTTATTTAATTTATTAACAACTAATATTTTAAATATAATTTTTTCACGAATCAGCCACTTCAGCCTGAACTTCATAAATTTAACAAAATCAGGCAATGCAGCCCATTTTAGTGTTACCAAAGATGCTCTCAAAGTTTAAAGAATTTGAATTCCACGTCAACCTAAAAACGACGAACGAAATGTTGGTAGAATCGAGTGTGTTAAGAGGGAAATGCATTTCTTTCTCCTCGAAACCAGAAATGGTATAAATGTGACTGAAAATATTTCTGTATTTGGTTGTACTGGTACTACAGAGTAGCTGTCTAGTAGCACGCTTTTGTGCAACTTCAAACGAACCGATGGTTAGCTACCTGCAATGCCATTTCCGTTTCTGTGCTCTATCATGTTCCTGGGGCAGAGAGAGGAGTAACCCATTTCTTCCCAAGTCTGAGAAAAAATTGAACTTTCAGAGAGGATGAAGAAAGCCAAACTGTCGACAAGGAGGCCAAGAAGCACCAGACAGAGACGTGGACAACCGTCCCTGAATGGTGGTGCTCAGTGCAATGAAGAGAGGGAGGAGGAAGCTGTGGAGGAGGAGAAGGATCTGATTAAGCAAGAGCAAACAGCATCACCATCGCCGCCTCCTTCTCCGGTAACTCCCTCTTTCCCTTGTTTTTGTATCAACAAATGAGCTTGAGAAGTTTTGGCACGCACTCTTTGTTTGAATTTGAGAACCCTAATTTAAGCAAATAGAGTTAAGAAATCAGTCTGAAATGAAAATGTTAATCTGTGTTTGGAAGTGGTTTTCTAGTTGCATATCAGTGTTATTCACAGTCATCCCCATCCTTTCATGTCTACTTTGAAGTGAACGGAATCATGGTTTTTATGCATTCATTTTGGGCCTTACCTAATAGCAGATCCTTTGTACATATAATTCCCTGCCCAGAAGCATCTCTAAATGATGTGTAATACTTCTTAGTTATCAGGAAGTATAGGCATAGGTTAATGACTTCTTACCAACTCTTTATGGTGTATCACAGGGTGATGCACCACTGACTACTCAAACTACCACTCATACATATAGAACTCGAAGGGCAAGGGAATTATTTTTTAAATCCAGTCCTGGAAGTTCTCCCTGGACACCTTCATGTTCTATCTCCAACCAGGCTGGTCCTATTAATCCCGAATTAAGTGCAGCACTAGTATCTGAATTGCCTTCTCAGGTACTACAATCAAGCTTGCTACTTTGTTTTGCCTTTTGTGGGATAGTGTTGTAAAAGTATGAAATGTTCTATATGATACGTAAAACTACCTCTTGTTCCAATATAGGGAGTAGGGACCCATTTTGAATATCCTCTGTCTTCTGTTTGACCACTATTTACTTCTTGTTAATGTCTAATTTTCTAAAAGGAGGCTTGGGGCACCGGTCACAGTGCTGTCGTGTGACCGCAAGGTTACAAATTTAACTCTTGGGAGCTGCCTCTTGTCAAAACGACAAGAAAAGGCTTGCCTCTTACACACATTTGTTTGGACCCTTTCCTGGACTCTCGCCTTGGAAGGATGCCAATGTGCATTGAGCTGCCCTTTTTGTATTCTCTAATTTTCTACATCAAAATTGTTGGCATATTTGCGACTCAATAGAACTTGTATTGTATTTCCTTGATGTTTAAATTTTAATTATTGATAATTATTCAAATACTACAACTGCATTCAAATTTTGTAATCTAAAATAGGATATACACATAAAATGGGCCGGTATTTAATAAAGTTTACATCAATAATATTTGGTCACCAACACTTATATTCTAAATAATACTACCTCCATTTTTATAAATGGAAAAATTTGATTTTTGCAATGTTCGTATGATTTCTAATGTATATTACAGAGTACTTTTTAATGCATTGAGAAATGATATTAAGAAATAGTATTACTAAATCTGTACCAATGTAAATTCCAATATATCAACTTTTTAGTCTAGTATATTAATTATCACAGCTATGAACCGAGGAAGCAAGATTAATGAAAATTAGTGGTCAAGGTGAATGAATGATGACTTTAAAAAGTCAAATTGGGACGTATGGAAGGTATGCTTTTCCAACATTCAAATTTTGCTTTTTAAACAATGTCCAGGGCCTCCTGACCATAGAACATGTGAATGCCTCAAGCATGCCTAGTCAATTTGCAGATGAAGAGAATCATCCAACAAGTACTTCTACTGCCAGTGAACAAAAACCCAACAATGACGAGAGAGCTACTGCTTCTGCTGCTGTTCATCTAACCCGATCTGAAACTCTTCACCTCACAGAGATGCTGCTTGCAGGAGCTGATGATGATGATATGGATGACGCAATCTCAACAAAAAATTCTTCGACAGCAAATGTTGGTGGATACAAAGTGAGGGTGGAAATTGCACCTCTTGCCAAGCAAATCTTTACAAGATATGGTGACATTGTGAAAGAAAGCATATTCAAATCAGTTGAGTATCGTTCTTCTGTGCTGGAAACGGTTTGCAACATTTGTCAAAGATTGAGATCAACAAAGTTTCCAGATCTGACGTGTCAGGAGCTCCAATCCATGCTCAATGTTGTTAATGATCTTGAACCTGTCAAGGTAGACGTCGGATGGCTTCTCTGCCGGTTGAATGAAATTTTTGAAGCCAAAGAGTTCAAGAAAGGTTTCCCCAGCTTAGTGGAATCAAGAACCAAGACTCTCCAAGGGATTGAAGAACTGAAGAAAACGTGGGCAGAAACCAGAGAGGAATATGAAGCTTGCATGGCGAGATGCCAAATGCTGCAAGAGAGACTCAAGAAGCTTGAAGACGGGGTTGGCACTGCACAAGTTCAGATGGAGGAAATCAATGCAAGTTATTCAGACACGAAGGACAAACTGAGATGTTTCTACACGCGTTCTCTGCTGCATGGTATTCTTTGATCTACACAGCTCTACACTTAAGGCTGTTAGGTAACATTTCAATCTCCCCTTTAGATATTATGAACCCCTATCCTCGATATCAGTCATATACTTGGCAAACTATTTGCAGTTTCATGCTAAAATGCAGATGGGCTACATGTGTGCCTACTTCTAAACTCATGAATGGGCTAAATCATACTGACTAATCATCCTCTAGAAGACATCCCTCCCCCACTTCTAAAATCTAAATTGGTGTAAATCTATCTTACATGCATTCGTTTTCTACCTAATTTATAACCTTAAAAACCCGGTATCCCACATAAACAGGCAGCTGGCCTGGCCCCATTTGGGAGGGTAAAAATCAGTTGACATACACCGGTTTTTGGTACCAGTTCAAGACTACACAACGGTTTGGTTTTAATTAAATTAAAAAAAACAGCCAGTTCGTGTTTGGACCTAGCTTCATGCCGTCATGTCCATCTCTAACCCTAAATGCAGGAAATTTAGATTTCTAAATTTCAGTTCATATTACAACTTTTTTATCAAACGCTTAATTTTTTATTTCACGCATTGAATTGAGTAATAATCAAAATAAGTAAGGTTGAATTTTTTTTTCTAATTGAATTTACTATTGAAAACCATTTAGCTAGTTTATCATACGTAGTATAGTTTATTATAGAAGCCCATTTAGCTAGTTTTTTGTACGTAGTATTGTTTTTCTTATTTTATTAATAAAGTATATTATAAATATTATATTCTAAAAATTCGGAAGATTCAGCTAATTCAATAGTTTCAACCTGAATTTCATCCATTTAAAAATATTCAACCGATTCAGTCAATTTCAATTTTTACCGACTGAGTTCTTGGTTGGAACGGGTAATACCATTTTGTTTTTGGTCCACTAGAACTGATAGTCCAATGCTGTTTATGTTCAGTTCGTACAAAATATTGTTGACTGATGTAGTCGTAGATACGCCTTCTGGAAAGTTTAGAACATTCTTCCCAGCCGGTGTTATTTAACCCAACCGGGAAATACCCTGTTAGGTGTACCGGTTCTCAAACTGTCAGATGTCATTGATGAAGCAAAGAATGCGTACTGAAATGCATTTATTCATTTCTTCAATTTTCTTCATTCTTATACGTACTAATTGTTCTGATAAGCTGGTTGGATCAAAAGCCTAACTTGGCTCTCTGTCAGTATGAAAAGCATGCAGGTGGTTTAATACATTATACGTTTAATCTAACAACATTATAATTGTGAATAAAGGTTGGTACCCTTCATTTTTGTCAATACATCATATGCATAAAAATGGTACATTACTCTTAAAAAGTAGGACTTTACGTTTATTCTTGCTTTTTTACCCTTATATGCCGTTAACCTCAAAACCTCCAATCAGGTTTAGATTCGATTGCTGGAACTGAAGGTATAATATTCAGAGATGGTGACATGGGAGTTTGTTAATCGGACTTCAGTTGGCTCGCCCTTTAGGTTGCTGAAATTGTAGGTATATTCATAAAAGGCCACATGGGAGTTATCTCTGAACATAATCTAAGTCCTTAACAAAGAGACAACGAGCCTTTGACTCAGTTTATCGTAAGCTACAATTTACCCCATGTTTGCAGTTATTCGTGAAAAACTGTAAGCTACCCCTTAATTTACAAAGATTTGTTGAAAGTATGAAAGTACATCCTTTTATTTTTATATGCCATAGTCATCATGAAAATTTTATTGACATATGTGCTACTCCGTCTCTTATATTTGTCCCATTTTACATTTTTCATCCGTCTCTTTAAATTGGTCTCATATTATATTTAGTGATATTTTATATTTGGGTGATTGTAATTCATTCATCTTTATTTTACCAACACTTCATCAATTCACCGTTAATCACACAATTCATTTATCATAATAAATATGTTCCCTCTTGTCTCAATCTTAGGAGATAAAAGTAGTAATCCCTTCGTCCCGCTAAGATTGTCTCGTTATTACTTTTTGAGAAATCCCACAAAGAATGTCTCATACCAAATTTAATAAAGTTTGTTTGGCTCTAAATAATTCTTACTTTATCAATTCAATATCAACCACATAATTTCATTTTTCTTAGGGAAAACTATCAAATAAGTCCACATACTATGCCGAAAAAGTCGATTAGACCCTCGTACTTTAGAAACACTCAATTAAGTCCTCAAACTATTAAAAAACGTTCAATTAAGCCCTTTTGGTCGGTAAGTAACCGGTTTCCCGGTTAAACGGCGACGATGTGCTCGAACCCTAGCAACGGCGACTGCCGGGAAACGAGTTACATTTAACTGGGAAACCGGTCACTTACCGACCGAAAGGGCTTAATTGAACGTTTTTAATAGTTTGAGAACTTAATTGAGTATTAGTAAAGTACGAGGGCCTAATCGACTTTTTCGGTATAATTGTGTGACCTTCTCATGTCTCAATTTTCGTGGGACGGAGATAGTAATAATTATTTTTTATCTCTGCTTTTCATTAGTCTCTTATTGGGCACTAGTTATCACGTCTTGTGCGACCAAACGCTAGTACATTGTAATACATGGAGACCTACATACCTTCTATATGAAGTTATGAACATGGTTTATTTGTTATATACGGAGTACGTAGCATAAATCTAAATTTCATGAAATTTTTCTTCAATTAAGAATCTTTTGGAAACTATAATTTCATACAAAATTAAGTGTTTTCAAATTAAGGTGGTGCTGAATTGAGTGGTAGTCGCCCCGAGAGACATTATTGTAATTGTTGTATCTTTCATTCTTTCCCTTTTGCTGCAAGTTTGCCACACAGAATGCACGACTAGAAATTGATTAGTTTTTTTATTTAACATTATTTTAATAAACTGAAAGTTGCTCGTTAACATGACTACGTTTTTATCCCTTTGAGTAGATATCCATATTTTGTTGATACATCAGAAAGAAAAAGCCAAATGAAACTATTAGTACCCTAAACCATTAGCATTTTCCAATAGATAACGTTTAATCCTGTAAGGATCGTATTCCGTCTCCGGCTCAGGTCTTTCTACACACTCTACTCACATACACCACACTAGGGGAAGCTTTAGCACAACTCTCTGTTTTTATCTCACCACATAGTCCCTCTCTCAATACTCACACAAAGGGAAAGAGAAGAAGGAGAGCACTGCTCTCTAGAATTGGTTCTCGCAGGCTGCTCAACAAAGGGAGAAGGCACAAGCTTCATATAGAAGGCTGGCAGAGGTCACGGGTGATATCAAGACAAGAAGTCACGGGTGAAGCAAAACAGGAGGCCTCACGGGTTACCAAGACAAGTAATGCAGCAGACAGGAAAGGATGGGCCAGCCAAGTGGGAAAGTCAAACCACTCAAATAGGTATACTTATTGATCAGATAAAATACCAAGGTAGAGATACCAAAGTGGGAGTAAAACAATAGGGTGCAAGCCTCAGCAAATAAAGTGGAAGGGAGGCCTTGGTAGGACCAATACCTCCAACATTCTCCACCTTATTGGTCCTAGGTGGTGTAGAGTAACAATACAAGGTTGTGACAAGACTCATCATCGCCGGGTCACCCGGAATATCAACAGACACAACGGGCAAACACTTTATTAGGCAACCCACAGTTATCCACAATCAAAGTTTAACACGCGTTTACAGGACAAGTGCTTCTCAGCAGAAAGACACTTGGTACCCATATCCGCGGGGTTAAACTCGGACGGGATCTTGCACAGCTTGACTCCACCTGCATCAACAATATCACGTATGAAATGGAACCTAACATCAATATGCTTAGTTCTATCATGAAATACAGGATTTTTGCAAAGTTGGATAGCCGATTGGCTATCCGAGAAAATGGTAACTCCCTTTTTGAGAAACCCAATTTCGGAGACAAGGCGTTTGAGCCAGATGGCTTCCTTAAACGCTTCTGTGGCTGCAACATACTCGGACTCAGTGGTAGAAAGGGCCACAATAGGCTGTAGTTGAGACTTCCAACTAATGCAAGAGCCACACAAAGTAAAAACATAAGAAGTGGTCGACTTCCTGTTATCTCTATCATTTGCATAGTTAGAATCAACATAACCAATCAATTCAATACCACTAGCACACTTAGAGAAAATTAATCCATGCTTCACAGTAGAAATCAGATATCTAAGCAACCACTTAAGAGCATTCCAATGGGGCAAACCAGGGTTGGACATATATCTACTCAAGCAACTAACCGCATATGCAATATCAGGTCTAGTGCTAACCATAAGATACATCACCGACCCTATTGCGCTGGAATAAGGCACAGATTTCATTTTCTCAATTTCAGGAGCAGTCTTGGGAGACTGGTCCTTACTTAACACAAAGTGAGATGCCATAGGGACATTAACAGGAGAAGCAGATAACATATTAAATTTACTCAAAACTTTTTCTATGTAAGAAATCTGATTCAAAGTAAGAGTACGCTTACTCCTATCCCTAACAATGTTTATGCCTAGGATCCTCTTGGCATCACCTAGGTCTTTCATGGCAAAACTCGCACAAAGACATTTCTGCACATCTTTAATAGCATTCAGAGAAGGACTAATTATCAGCATGTCATCCACATAGAGTAACAAAAATACAGGCACAGAAGAAGTATTTTTGAAATACAGGCAATGATCACAAACAGATTTCTGGAACTTCAAAGATATCAGGCATTTATCAAATTTGATGTTCCACTGCCTAGGGGATTGCTTCAGGCCATACAAAGCCTTCCTAAGCAAACAAACATGCTCACTTCTCTTGGGATCCACAAAGCCCTCAGGCTGGGCCATATAAATTGTTTTATCCAATTCACCATGCAAAAAAGCAGTAGTTACATCCATCTGTTTCATTTCCCAGTCATGGTGAGCAACTAAAGCAAGCATCATACGAATAGTGGTGAATTTAACAACAGGAGCAAAGATTTCTGCATAATCTACCCCCTCTTTTTGAGTAAACCCCTTCGCAACCAACCTAGCCTTAAACCTAACATCACTAGGTTCTTCCTTAACCTTAAACAACCACTTACACTCAACTACCGAACAGTTGGGGGGTCTAGGTACAAGGGTCCAAGTCTGGTTCACTCTCAAAGAGTCCATCTCACTTTTCATGGCACTAATCCATTTCTGAGACTCTTTGGAACCTAAGGCTTCACGGTAGGTCTTGGGTTCATTCAGCTCTAGGGATTCAAACACAGAAAATGCAAACATAGAAGTATCATGCACAATGAAAGCATAATCAGGCATACTATCAGCAGTTCTCCTGATAGCCCTTCTACTCCTATCTCTAGCAAGTTGATAATCATGCAAATTATCACTACTAGGCTCCACATGCAACTCATGCAAATTATTGTTATCATGAAAATCAGATTCAGCACCCATATCATGCAAATCATGCTCAGTATCATGCAAATGCTCCACCTCACTCGAGGTGGTGGGACTATCATGCTCAGAGGAATCAGAATCATGCATAACAATATCATCAGAAATAACAGGATCAACAGATAAAGGACCAGCAGCAACAGGGACAGACTCCACCTCACTAGGAGTACTATCAGACCTAGACTCAGGATCAGAAACAGACTTGGTCAAGCAAGGAAAATCAGTTTCATTAAACACCACATTTCTGCTAAGGACCACTTTAAAGCCTACCTGGTTCCTATCCCATAACCTGTAACCCTTTACCCCCTCTGGATAACCTAGGAAGACACATTTCTTAGACCTAGGATCCAACTTGTCACCCTGTTGATGTGCATACGCTGCACAACCAAACACCCAAAGGTTAGACAGATCAAGAGGCTTACCGGTAAAGACGGTTTCAGGACACTTACCACCAAGAGGGACAGATGGGGACCTATTAACCAAATAGGCAGCAGTAGTAACTGCTTCACCCCAGAATTTCTTAGACAAACCAGAGGTAGCTAACATGCTTCTAACCTTATCCAACAGAGACCTATTCATTCTCTCTGCTATCCCATTCTGTTGGGGAGTATAAGGCACAGTTTTGTGCCTTTTTATCCCACAATCCACACACAACTTATCCATCTCCTTATTACAGAACTCTAACCCATTATCGGTCCTAAGGGTTTTAACCTTCCTGCCAGTTTGGTTTTCAACTAGGGTTTTCTACTCCCTAAACCTCACAAACACATCTGACTTGTGTTCTAAAAGGCAAACCCACACCTTCCTAGAGAAGTCATCAATAATGGAAAGGAAATATTTCCTACCCCCGTGGGTAGGAACACTGGCAGGACCCCAAACATCAGCATGAACATATTCAAGCACAGACGAACACTTAGACAGATTAGGGTAAGAGGAAGGAGGGAAACTGACTCTATGCTGCTTGCCTAACACACATGATTCACAGAAAGGCACAGAAGTCACAGAGTCCTTACCAAAATAACCAGCCCTACGCATGACATCTAAACCCTTATTGCTCATATGTCCTAGCCTATTATGCCACAAAGAGGTCTTATCAGAACATACAACATTCACAGATTCGGCAAAAGGTTTAGCATGACACACATAAAGGTTATTCACCTTCTCAGCTTTAAACAAAACAAGCGAGTTTTTCAGGATTTTCATACAACCATTCCCCCATTTTCCCTGCAACCCACTACTCTCCAAAGCAGCAACAGATAACAAGTTATGACACAAATCAGGGACATGCCTTACATTCTTAATGGTAAACACAGAGCCACAAGAAAATTTCAGACATATATCACCAACACCAAGCACATTGCATCTCTTATTATCAGCTAAGGAAACGTAGCCACTATCACATAATTCATAAGTAGAAAACAAATCTCTAAAGGGGGACATGTGATAGGTACAACCAGAGTCAATCAACCATTCATGCTCAGACAGGGAATTTCTCACAGAATTAACATGGTCACAAACCATCAAAATATCACCAAGGTCACATTTATCAACAGCTACACTAGCATGCTCGGTCTTCTTAGGGTGGGGGCAATCCTTAATGAAATGGCCAGTGTTACCACAATTGTAACACACTCTCTTCCTAGATTTACTCCTCTTCCTCCCAGGCTGACTAGCGTTCTTACCCTGACTATTTTGCTTAGAGTTCTTAGACCTACCCTTAGATCTACCCCTAACAAACATAGCCTCACCGGAGTCCCTGGACTGACTAGCACTACCCCTAGCATGCTTCAGGTCTAATTCCTTACTCCTTAACCCATTCACTACAATGTCTAATGAAATCTCATCCCTACCGTACTTAATAGCGGACTTAACATCATTATAAGAGTCGGGAATGGCATTAAGTAATACTATGGGAGTATAATCATCTATGTGTTTATCACCTGCCTGTTTGATATTCTGTATCAGTTTATTAAACACATCCAGGTTCTCATCTATATCCTTAGTCAGGTCAAGCCTAAACCTAAAGAATTTCTCTAGCAAGAACAACTTCCCTGGTAAAGAGGTATCAGTATAGAGACTATCTAATTTCTCCCACAACTCCTTAGCGGACTCAAGAATACCCACTTTCCTAAGCACAGAATCAGACAGATTCAAGTAAATAGTAGAACAAGCAGTTTCGTTCATTTCAATTTGCTTAGCCTTATCTTCTGATTCAAGGAAAATACCAGTGACAGCTCTGAAAACTTTTTGCTGTATTAAAACACACTTTATTTTCTGTTTCCAAATATCAAAATCCGTTTTTCCATTAAATGGAAGCATACCATACTGATTTGTAGCCATGGTATCAACCACAAAGGAACACAAAGCTAAACAGATAGAAATAACAGAAAATAATCCAACCCGGGTTATAAAGTATTCACTTTAATAACCCCGGGCAGCATGCAACACATAACAAAAAATTGGACATAATGGCAATTAAACAATTCCGGGCAGAAAATTAAAATTAATTAATTCTACCCCTACCACCCAATAAACCACCCCTACGCATAACAATTAAATTAAATAACACTTAGTAATTTAATTAATCAACTAAAACAATCAACCACAAAGGAGAGGGTTTAGTACGTACCTGAGGGGTTGGCGGCCGGGATTAAATCAACCGGCGGCCCGCGGGGAGGGGGAATAAATTAAATTAAAATTAAAACCGGAATATAACAAATGGGAAGTTTACAGAAAACTTACCTTCGCGAAACCCTAGGAGAGCGTTTCGACCTTACCTACCCAAATTTTAAAAAAATTTGGGATTTTTCTGAGAAGTTGACCGGCGTTGACTGCCGTTGACCGGCGTTGACCGTCGTTGACCGGCGGTCCAGCAGCTCAGCAGTCCAACTCCAGCAGCATCAGCCCATTCCAGCTCCGGTTTGACCAACCCAGCACCTAACCAGCCCAAATAGAAACCCAGCAGTAGCTCTCTGACCCAACTCCAGTAGCTCCTTCAATTCACCAGGTCCAGCAGCCCAAATAAGGCCCAATGACCAAGAAATTAATGCTCCTATCAGACTGCTCCAGCCCAGCAACGAAGGTACAGTCGGTCCAACACAGGTCCAGCGTTCGTACTGCCTCCAGTCTACAAGCTACAGTACTCGTCACTCAGGGCCTTCGTCTATCTTCTGCGAATCAACGAGCTTCACCAACGAGTAGCGACCTCGATGGCGGATCCCCCAGGTGACGGAACGGTGACCGGAGAACAACCAGGCGACCGGCGGTTGATTGATTGCGGCGAGCAAATCCCTGCAGCGGCGAGCTTCAGGCTATGGCGGGTTTGAGCTTCCAGCAGAGGCTATGGCGGAATCAGCTTCTGGCAAGCTCGATTTCTGCGAACAGAGACCAACGTGGAAGTCAGCAAGCTCGTGCGAACGAC